ACTTATCTTCTGGACGAAAGAATTACAATAGTCTATATTAGGCAAGAGAACTGCCTGATCCTCCCTCCACCTTTAAAAGTGTGGCTTGAATTCCAGCCTGATGGAAAGCAATAAGTAAGAGTGTCCATTTCTTTCAGAGAGGCCTGGATTTCATTCCTGAAATGATTTCTCAGACTTACGGGAAGAAAAATACTGTTTCTAAAATGTGGTCTAACAAAATACTTGTTCGCTGTCAGGAGTGAAAAGTGGTTTTATCCATTTGAAACCATGGAGATTGTTTAGAGTAATAACAGTACAGTGATTTCACTGGAATTTAGTAGCTGGAACAAGCCCTTCCCAGCTGTTTTAAAATGAATTGCAGTATGATTATGGTTGCACATGACCAGCTGATAGCATGAACAGTAACCGCTTGTATCAGGCTTGCAAAGGAGGCTGTATGGCTGCCCATTGAGTACTGAATGCACACCAAGTGTCCTGATTCTGTGCTGCCTCAGGGAGTTGTAGTTAGGCTTGCCATAGCTGGAAATACTGTTAGCTGTTTTTTCTATGCATATGTGTGTGTGCATTTTAAATTATAGAACCATAGAACGGTTTTGATTGGGAAGGACCATAAAGGTCACCTAGTTCCAACCCACTGCCATCGCCAGGGACACCTTCCACCAGACCAGGCTGCTCCAAGCCCCATCCAGCCTGGCCTCAAACACTGCCAGGGGTGGGGCAGCCACAACTTCTCTGTGCAACCTGTGCAAGTGCCTCACCACCCTTATAGTGAAGAATTTCTTTCTAATGGCTAATCTAAATCTACCCTGTTTCAGTTTAAAGCCATTCCCCCTTGTCCTGTCCCTACATGCCTTTGTAAAAAGTCCCTCTCCAGATTTCCTGTAGGCTTCCTTTAGGCACTGGAAGCTGCTCTAAGGTCTCCCCAGAGCCTTCTCTTCTCCAAGCTGAATAAGCCCAACTCTCTCAGCCTGTCTCCACTGAAGAGGTGCTCCAAGCCCTCTGATGATACTTGGTCTCCACTGGACTTGCTCCAACAGGTCCATGTCCTTCCTGTGTTGAGGGCCCCAGAGCTGAAGACAGTACTGCAGGTGGGGTTTCAGGAGAGCAGAGAAGAAGTAGAGAATCTCTCTGCTTCTGGAGAGCACTCCCTAAATCTGCTGGTCACACTCCTTTTGATGCAGCCCAGCACTGCCAGCTCATGCTGAGCTTCTCTTTAACCAGGACCCCCAAATCCTTCTCAAGGTGTGCTCAGTCCATCTATGCCCGTGTGACATTATCTGTATGTGGTTTTATTTTTTGCTTTTAGAAAGCTATGAAATACACAAAGGAGCTACTCTTTCAGGCAACCAAGAACACAAATAATTGGGTAGTATGAAACAATGCCTAATAAAAAAAATTGCTAGGTGTTTTATTACTACAGTGTCATTATAGTGTAATGGTATATTGGATGAAAACAGAATGTATTATTGCAGAGGCCTATAACCATAGCTAAGCAGGATAGTGATATACATAGATGTCTTGCTCCTTACAGTGTTCCTAGAATAGCTCTGTAGGTACAGAAGATGGACTGAAACTATCCTTGGAGTTCCTTGTGCCAGCTTAAATGTATAAACTTTTGATTATTATATCCAGCAATGATTATAATATCTTAATATGTTTCCAGGTCCCAGCTCCAGCATCAGTAGAAGAGGAAGTAGCACAGTTCCTCCTCACTTAAATCCAGATAATGGTAGTGGCCAATTTTTTTTGTTTGTTTTCTTTCCTCTTTTTTGTTTGTTTTTTATGTTTTGGTTTGGTTTTTGTTTTGTTTTTTTTTTTCCTTTTGTCTGGGGCCTTCAGCACAGCCTCTGCTGAGGATGATGCTTTGTGAGAGGTGTTAGCCATGACTCATTCTCTCTCCACCCCTAGACACAGGTTCATGCCACCTCCTTCACAGGCTTTTGGAATCTGAACATTGTTTTCAATGTTTTCTCACTTTGTCACTTTCTCACTGTGGCACTTCATCCATAGCACAATTACTCAAACTGTATCAAAAAATCAAGGAACACAGAGCAGAGATGTGCTTTAGAAAGCTGGAAATACGTACTTCGGAATGGTCCTACTGAAAAAAACATTTTTAAATAACTTTCTGGTGTTTTTATTTGCCTTAAAACATTTGAGTAGGAGGAACTTTTCGGACCCCTGTGGTTATCCATCATCATACTGTCCCCTTTACAAATCACTCCTGATGAAGGAGTTGTCTTCTACCTTTCTGGAAAGCACATTGTGGCATACCTGCTATACACATCAAGCTGGCCAACCGAAAGGTAGCGGCTTGCTGCCATGCTTGTGTGTTTCTTCTGCTACACAGAGCTGTGGGGCTGGGAGAGACCTCACGAATTTGCTCGTCTCCCCCTGTGCATGCACAGCCCAGAGGAGCCAGCTGATTTCTTCTACAAAGTGTCCATTGAGGAGAGCCCGAAATCCATAGACAGACTGTCCCATTGATCAGATAGAAAGCTTTATGTAATGTACATCGTGATTGTTCCTTAGTCTAGTTACAGGACTTTTCTGCCCTTACCTGGTGTAACTGTGGTGGGTTGGCTGCTGCTTCTGCACCAGCAGAACAGGGGAGAAAACAGGAGGAACATGAATAAGAAAACTCATGGGTCAAAACAGCAGCAGGGATATCACTCACCAAGGACTGTTGCATGCCAAGCAGACTCTGCTTGGGGAATTTAATTTATAGCCAGTTAACATAAATATTAAATTACTGATTCAGGTTTTGGGAAGCAAGACAAGACAAACATTAAAATACTTAAGGGGGTGAAAAACATCTTTTCCCAGGCTCACTGCACTGCAAACATCCTTCCTCACCACTTCTTCATCACAGTCTCACTCCAGACACCTCTCCTGCACCTTGTCATAGCTGCAGGTGATGCTCAGTCCCTTCAGAGGGGCACCGAGTGGTGCACAGTTGGGATTGGGATGTCAGTTTTTCTCTGCTGCTCCTTTCTTGCACTTTTCGTGTTCTCCACAGGCTGCAAGTCTCTCTGGGGGTGTACCTGCTCCTCCTCTAGCCTTGGTGTTCCTCATTCCCTTCTCTGTTGTGAACCCAGCTAGAGCTGGGCATACCTGGCGTGGGACAGCCCCTCTTCTTACAGAGTCTGCCCTGCAACCTCCTGCTACCAAAACTTTTCCATAGACACCCAATGGTTGATCAGTGTCCTCTATTTTAATTACCGTCTGTATATTGTAGATTGTTTTGTTCCTCCACAGGCTGTCTTTTGTTCTCCAGATTAACTAAATGTGCTTCCTTCGGCCTTTACCCATAGGTATCGTTTTACTTCCTTTTGGATTCTTTCCAGTTCATCTGTATCTTTTGTAATATGTCATGCCTGAAACTGGCTGTAGAAGTTGGCTGAGGACTCATCTGCCTTTAGAAAATGACATAATTGTGTCTCTTGCCTTACCTCAGACAGTTATTGTGCAACAGGCGCACATCTTTTGTTTTGCTTATGTCTGATCAGATTCTGCTTAACTGCCTCTCCACAGCATTTTTAATACACAATTTGTCCTTCTGAAGCACAGTACTGAGCAAATTCTCAGTTTTGTTGTGTTGATTTTGGACAGTCTCTCCAAAGAGAGAGACTAATCTGTGCTGCAGAGTGCCTGCCATCCCCTTGGCCTTGCAGACCTTCTCTCTCTTCTATTGTTTGGGTGGGACCTCACAGAACTCCTGTAGCAGGGATTTGCTGTCTCCTCCTCTGCTAAGCATACCGGTGCTCAGTACTCACCTGCTGGCATTTCCTAAACACATTGCACTCTTCCATGTTGGTATTTCAGGCCTCCTGTTTTGCCTCATTGAGTCTTCATGGTGCCTGTTATACTGTATAGTTTTCATAGAGTCATAGAATCATAGAATAGTTAGGGTTGGAAAGGACTTTAAGATCATCTAGTTCCAACCCCCTGCCATTGGCAGGGACACCTCCCACTAAACCACGTCACCCAAGGCTCTGTCCAACCTGGCCTTGAACACTGCCAGGGATGGAGCATTCACAACTTCCCTGGGCAACCCATTCCAGAGCCTTGCCACCCTCACAGTAAAGAATTTCCTCCTTATATCCAATCTAAACTTCCCCTGTTTAAGTTTTAACCCATTACCCCTTGTCCTATCACTACAGTCCCTAATGAAGAGTCCCTCCCCAGCATCCCTATAGGCCCCCTTCAGATACTGGAAGGCTGCTATGAGGTCTCCATGCAGCCTTCTCCAGGCTGAGCAGCCCCAACTTTTGCAGCCTGTCTTCATACAGGAGGTGCTCCAGTCCCCTGATCATCCTTGTGGCCCTCCTCTGGACTTGTTCCAACAGTTCCATGTCCTTCTTATGTTGAGGACACCAGAACTGCACACAATACTCCAGGTGAGGTCTCACAAGAGCAGAGTAGAGGGGCAGGATCACCTCCTTCAACCTGCTGGTCACTCTCCTTTTGATGCAGCCCAGGATACGGTTGGCTTTCTGGGCTGCGAGCGCACACTGAAGTTGGCTCATGTTCATTTTCTCATCGACCAGCACCCCAAAGTCCTTCTCTGCAGGGCTGCTCTGAATCTCTTCTCTGCCCAACCTGTAGCTGTGCCTGGGATTGCTCCGACCCAGGTGCCTACACCTTGCACTTGACATGGTTAAACTTCATAAGGTTGGCATCAGCCCACCTCACAAGCATGTCAAGGTCCCTCAGGATGGCATTCCTTCCCTCCAGTTTTGGTTTGGCTGTGAGGATTTTTAACACTCCCTACTTGTGTTTTTCCTTACTTACTGAATCTGTGTACAGGTGCTAAAAATGTTGGGCAGATTCAGCATCCCACACCATTTTGCAGGTGAAGGCAGTCTTTGGGGAAGGCTGGGACTGACTCCCAGCTGCCTTTAGAAACCACAGAGCAGCTGTAGGGCGTTCTGTTGTGCTCCATTGATGGTCATAGAAAAGCAAAATCATACAATAAGTAAGTTTCATATGTGTTTCAGCCATGGGAACAAAGAAGTATTTTCTTGTCGAGGAATCAAATTGGCAGTAGACTGGTTTTTGGAAAGAGGCCACAAGGATGTTACTGTGTTTGTGCCAGCATGGAGAAAAGAACAGTCGAGACCTGATGCTCTTATCACAGGTAAGCTCTGTTCCACCTTAGTATTCTGAGTCCATCTTTCAGAGCTGCTCGTGATCTCCAGATTCCACACAAAGAAGGAGAAAATGCATTCGGATTGGTGGTTGACAGACTGTGTAGGATAAGAAGGAGCCACATAAAATCTTAAATATGCTTATTTAGTAGGATTAGAGAGAAAACTCTTTGGATTTGATAGGACCTTATATATAAATGTGTAAACCATTCCAGGAAAGATACATTCTGAAGTATTACTGGAGGTAAAAAAGAAAAAAAGAAAAAAAACAACTCAAAACATTTATTTGCTGTTCGTTACGAGATGACATCGGAGCTCTTTTTAGGGGGGGGGCTGTTAGTATTTGTGAAGAGCCAAAGTGCTTGTACAGAATGCAGACTTTTTTAGTCTGTGTGGGTATTAGCAGTGACACCTTCGCAGGAGAGCGCGTCTCTGTGTGGGCAGGGTAATTCCATTAACTTGAGGTATTGGAATTATTTCAAAAGATATTTCTTGCAGGGTACCACAAAGAGAAGGAAGAGGTCTGTCTTTACCAAGGAGCTCAGTAATGGGAAATCCTTGGCTGTACTTGGGTGTAGCCCTCCTATTTGCTGAAACATTCCTTAGTGTTTAAAAGCACCCCTTCAGTGAGAGAAGTTTTTCACAGGTGTTTTGATAAATCGTGTTTCTTTTGAACCACAGTAGCATGAACAAGGTCCTCTGTGTTAGTCTTAGAGAAATGGTGTGGAACAGGAGGTTTTGATTTCTTTGCGGGCTTTTTTGAAAGTATTGCCAGTTGACTGCAGACTGTAACTTCACATACCATATACCAGATATCATCTGCTGAAATACAACCATTTAAGACATAGAATATAGAATCAAGTAAGTTGGAAGAGACTTTTAAGATCATATTTAGTCCTAAGTGCTTGGATTGTCTTCCTCAAATCTGATCTGTCTGTGGTGATTAAACAAACCTATTTTTCTTTTCAACTTTCTATTCTTATTTATTGTAGATCAAGAAATCTTGCGTAAATTAGAAAAGGAGAAGATTCTTGTGTTCACACCATCCCGCCGAGTGCAAGGGAGAAGGGTGGTATGCTATGATGACCGATTTATAGTGAAGTTGGCCTTTGAGTCAGATGGCATCATTGTTTCCAATGATAACTACAGGGATCTAGCTAATGAAAAGCCTGAATGGAAGAAGTTCATAGATGAACGCTTGCTGATGTATTCATTTGTTAATGACAAGTAAGTCATTCTATCTTTATGTGCCCCTACAGTAACTGAGGAAGGGACAATGCAAAGACTTGTATGACTCTCCTGTGTTACACCCAAATCATTAGGTACATGTAGGAAAACAGGAGAAAATAGTAGATCACAGATTGGATCTTCTGATGAAAAGTACTCAAACTTTGGTTTTTGATTTGGCTTTTTTATAACAATACATTTGTTTATGCTATTTTTTTCTTCTTTTGGTGTATGCCAATGTATATTTAATGCATGCTATGGTATAATATTCCAGTTCTTTTGATACACTGAGCCAGCGTTTCTGAGCGCTTGTGGTTAGACTCCTAAATCCTAGAAAACTCCATGTTGGAATGACCTTCAGGAGGTCTTTATTTCAGCTGTCTGCTTAGATACATCTATGGTGTCTTCCTACCCTGGCATACAGGTCAACTGCAGTTACCACTGCACTCTCTGAAGCAGACACTTGGATTTGAGTGCTTAGGTTCTGGAGCAAGAGTCATGGACAGTCAGCAGTTTTGCAGAGTTGTTTGTGGGGTTTCAACTCTGTATTGCTGCCCTTACTTTGATTTAGGAATGGGTTGTGTGCAGCCCTGCTTTTTTGATGCAGAGCAGTCAGCTGAGCTAGACTAAAGGTGTCTGAAGCAGACTAGGGGTGCCTGTTTCCGTAACTTACCTCTCAGGTAGTACCTGCAGCAGAAAAGTGGCATTTCAAAACACCTCTCAAAATACCCAGTCTTAAACATGTCAGCATGGCATGTTATGGTGTAGGACATAGTCATGAGGTTCTTGATCATTGCATGAGGAATACGAAAAGGCTTATTTGCTTCCACAATACTTTTTGTTTTGCTTTATAGATTTATGCCTCCTGATGATCCTCTTGGCCGCCATGGGCCAAGTCTGGACAATTTTCTTAGGAAGAAGCCTATTGTACCAGAACATAAGAAGCAACCATGTCCCTATGGTAATTTGATTTAATTTGTCAGTTTTGTGCCCTGCCAGGACTGTGGGCAAGGTCCTGCTTTATGTTAACACTGCCAAAATGCTTTTCAACAGAGGTTTTTACACTGTTGTTTTAGCCTAGTTGAAATGGTTGGAATGCTGAGCTGATAGTGTGAAGTGAGGTGATTTATTTTCATGTGCTAGTTAAGAGAACATTTCTCTCTGCTAGTTGAACTAACAGAGCAAATTTATTAATCATTTGTAGGAATAGATCCAAAACAGCACCTAAATTCTGCAGGCTCAAGAAAGCCCTTTTGTAATGTGATTTGGTCATAAGACATGTAATTTTCTTCCAGAAAACTGACTGATCTGTCTGAACTTTGGCTGCTGAGCATCCCTACAGGCACACCACCATTTTGACTGATCTGAGACCTGCTGGTCTTATGACTCTTGGGATTTTCCTGTTAAGTTTTCTGCCTGTATATCTCCTTGGCCCAATACAGCAGGTGTGTACAGGCAGACTGACAGTGTCATGTTCAGCTCACAGTGTGTCTGTTTGTGTTGGCCTGCATTCTGAGAGCATTAGTTGCGGCACGCTGCCATTGCCTCTTTTTCTCAAATACAAAGAGAAGATCTTAGATCTCACCCTGTGTTACACAAAGCCATTTGCAAGATCTTTCAGTCATCAGTAAAACTGTAAATTAGGGACATTTCTTCTGTTTGATTATTAACAGATTTTGGTTGATTATGTTTTTTTGTCTGTTTATGTTTGTATTAATAGGGAAGAAATGTACCTATGGACACAAATGCAAATACTATCATCCAGAAAGAGGAAATCAGCCTCAGCGATCTGTAGCTGATGAACTTCGTGCCATGTCTAGAAGCACAGCTGCCAAAACTACGAGTGAGGGAGGACTGGTAAAAAGCAATAGTGTTCCCTGTAGCACTAAAAATGATGGCATTTCTGAGCTGAAACGTGCTGCTCCAAAGAGGCAATCAGATCCTAGTATAAGGACTCAAGTCTATCAAGACTTGGAGGAAAAGCTTCCCACCAAAAACAAGTTGGAAACCAGGTCTGTACCTTCTTTAGTTAGCATACCAAGTTCCTCTGCTGCAAAACCCCAAAGTACTGCACCTTTAACTAATGGCCTTCCATCCGGAGTTCACTTCCCACCTCAGGATCAAAGACCACAGGGACAGTATTCTACAGTGATGATGGCAACCAAAAATCACGGAACACCAATGCCTTATGACCAGTATCCAAAATGTGAGTCTCCTGTGGATGTAGGTTATTACTCTATGCTGAGTGCATATTCAAATCTAAGTATATCTGGTCCACGTAGTCCTGAGAGGCGCTTCTCCTTGGACACAGATTATAGAATTAGCTCTGTAGCTTCTGACTGCAGCAGTGAAGGGAGCATTAGCTGTGGCAGTAGTGATTCCTACATGGGTTACAGCGATCGCTCTTACATGAGTTCTCCTGACCCACAGCTGGAGGAGAACTTGAAGTGCCAACATATGCACCCCCATGGCCGCCTTAACACTCAGCCTTTCCTGCAGAGCTACCATGAGCCTCTTGCACGAGTGCAAAACTATAGTCATGAAGAACCAAAGCATCACCACAAACCTCCAGTTCCGTACATGGCTGTGCATCTGCAGCATCCAACAGTTGGTGCTCGTTCTAGTTGTCCCAATGACTACTCTGCATCTCAGAGTTCATCACACACAAAGACCATGCATCTGGGGAGAGCCCTTGTGTCCACAAGAATAGACAGCATTTCAGACTCACGTTTATATGATAATTCTCCATTAAGACACAGAAAGCCTTATTCTGGCCAAGATGGGCTTGGAAGCTGGGATAGGCAGAGTTATGGGATGGATGCATATGGCTACCGCCAGACCTACTCCTTGTCAAGTAACCCCACACAGCCGTGTTATGAGCAGTTTGCCTTCCAAAGCTTACCTGAACAGCAGGACCAGACCTGGCGTGTACCTTACTGTGGAATCCCTCAAGACCCTCCAAGGCACCAAGACACACGGGAGAAGGTTTACATTAACCTCTGCAACATCTTCCCCCCTGATCTTGTGAGGATCGTTATGAAGAAGAACCCTCATGTGACGGACGCTCAGCAGCTCGCTGCAGCCATCTTAATGGAAAAATCTCAGCTGGGTTATTGAGAGAAGATACATCTTTGTGGTGTCTAGTAGTTTTCAGCTCAGCTCTAATGCTGAGGGAGGTTTGCTACAATAGCATTTGGGATCTCCTTCTCAGCAAGGAGGTTATATAGTAATCCGTTTATGTGAAATACTGTATCATGGAGTCTGTATGTATAGCCCCATGCATTGGAAGTACCAGATATGTTTTGTGTTCTAGTTTGAAATTTTTTAAATGGCTATTTTCACATCTGGAAAATGTTCCAGTTTAAATTAATATATATATATGTATAAAAATAATCTGTGGTCTCTGGTTATAATCTTTGGTGCATCAGGGGTTTATATGCAGCACTTTCTATTCTTGTTACATGTTGTTGGGATTTTTGTTTTCGTTTTTAACTTGCTGAATGTTTGTCCTTGGTCTGTGTGGTATTAAAACAACCTGCAGAAAGGATTTTGCTACTTCTGGCAGGCAATTTTCAAGCCAAGTTTTTGAACTTTTTACAACACCATAAGTATCTATGTTTGTTTGTTTGTTTGTTTGTTTTTGTGAGCTTTTTTATGCTATAATTATTTATAGGAAACAAAGATTTGCAACAGCACTGACTTTGTTTTTTTAAACAAATAATTGAGTTACCAGTTAACAGTGAAATGGGTAAGAATATATTGGTAATTTACAGTATGGCACTTTCATTGCTTGCTTTGTTTTCTTTAAATAGTTACATGTTTTGTTGATGCAGTCTATTAGTAAGATCAGGTGCAATCAGAGGAGGAAAAAAAATGGTTGGTGGGTTTTTTTGTTTACTATTTATGGATAAGGTGAAAGCCTTATTGCCTGATTTTCAAAGCTGCTGGGAATTTGCAGCCCCCTTTGAACCTGCCAGAAGCTGCAAATGCTCAGAACCTCCCCGAAACCAGCCTCCCCTGTTTCCGTTCCTGTGTGTTGTTACCAATCTCTATGTATTTCTGGTGAGGAGAAGGCGCCCTGAAATCATAAGATCCCATTTAGTAGTTTTATGTGGGTTTTTCTTTGTGTTGCTGCACAAGTGTACTGGATAAAATACGCTTTTCATAAAATATTTACCTGTTTTTAAATGAATTTAATTATCTCAATGCAAGTTTTATATTTAAGATACTGTTCGATTTTTCTTGCTATTTATAAAGGCTGGCCTGAAAAGGTTTTGTGTGTTGAGGATATGCAACATTTATTAACTGCACTATGGTATGATATTGTAGCTCAGAATAATAACTTAAACTGCTTATTTTCCGTTCTGTTTCAGTGGGGAGGGGAGGATTGTGGGGAGAGAAGATACTGTATGTGTTCTTGAAGTTAGTTTTCGGCCTGTTGGATCACATAGGCCTGATTCTTGCCACAGATATTGTAGTTTTAGAAACAGACAAACTGAGTCTGTTTTAGTATTAGTAAGGGATATTTCTGGTTTTAAGTCATGGGTTTTACTAGCACCTCGTAAGCTTTTTTAGAGATATACAATAGAAATAGATTTTGCAATTGATGTCAGATGTACTTACGTGACATTGTCGGTTGCCGAGAGTTTTAGGTTTCCATCCGTTGTAATGATGTTCAGTGTTAAAAAACCAAATCACTAGTTTACACTATTACTGCTGATAATTTTGGTGTACTTGCTGGAATTTAAAGTAAGGCCCTGAAGAACCAGAAACTACCTTTTACTGTTGATACAAATTGTATCTTTTTAACTGAGAACTATTTTGATTTGTAGATTTAGTAGAAACACAAATGTATAACTAGTCTTTTGGGCAACATTTTATCCCTTATTTAAAAAATAGAGATTTCAGACATAGGATAGACGTAGGAAAGTGACAGTAGATATTTATTTAGGTGTCTGTTGCAATTTCACATAACAAAAAGAAAAACAAGAAACTATTGGCATCTTCTTCCTTCTAAAATCTTTGTAGTGGGAACTCAACTAAAATAAAGGTAAAATGCTGCCTAAAAATGATGTCCAAGCACCTTTGAATACGAAGACGTTTTCACTACTTGTGCGACACCATGTGTTGCAGCAAGTAGGTTTTAGGTATACAGTAAATGCTTCTAAAGGGCATTGTGCTTATAGACATATCCAATAATCTGAACCATGTTCAGCAAACCAATTCAGGACGTAGTGCTCTTGCAGCTTCCACTGCTGATGCTCTGCGGGATCTGCCACTGCCCGTCCCTGCAGCGATACTGGAGGGGCTCTGTGCCATCTGTCGTGCGTTGTCTGGTTAGGGAGAGGACCTTGTCACCTCTGCCAACAGTTTTTCCCTGGATTTGGTTGGTCGCCACCGGTAGAGCATGTTTTAATGTGGAGATCGATGCAGTGCTGATGCTGAGGTTTGGACTGGGAAATGGGTCTCATCTTAGTTGTACACTAAGATTGTTTTAAATTGAATTACACTACGTACTACACCATAGTGTAGATGCAGCTGTTTTAATAATGCAGTTGTTATATTTGTGGTTTTAATGGGTTTCTACATTTATTTTTTATGTAGGAATTTACTTCTGCTGAAAGTTGAATTCCTTTAAGCATGAGCAGAAACATTGTGTGTGTAACAAACAGAGGCATTTTGTCTTTTTCCCTGCCACGTGAGCATCAGAATGCTTCCTACCGTGTACATGTAGCAGTACATCTAGAGTACTGGATGCGCAGGCTTAGCCACGTTGTTAAAATGGTGCAAGGAGACGTGGGACTGTGTGCTGCAGCGCCCAGTCCCGGGTTGTCAGTACTGACTGTGTACATTAAATGCAGTATCGAATCCCCGAAAGTGTGTTGATTGCTGGACAATTCTTGTCATAGGTTCTGTGTTTTGTACTCAAGCACTGAAAACGCTTTAAAAGTATAAGAACAGGAGTAATTTGGTGGTTTTAATGTTGTGCAATGATGTGCTAGTTCCCCTTAGACTCTGTTTTGTTGGGTAGAGCAGATTTACTGTGGACAGAACACTGGCCTTGGTATTTCCTTTGGTTTTGCTGTGATAATGGTGAAATGAGGAGCTGCATGTGAACTCCTCCACAATGAAGAAATCGGTTTATATATTTAACAACCTTTAGAGAGGACACCAGTAATAAATACGAATACAAAGATACTGGCAGAATACTACATTTGTCAATGTAATCGTGTTGATGAGAATTGAACTGTAACATCCCGTGTTACTTAAACAGTACAGGTAGTGCAGTGGTACTGCCTCTGCCACAGCGGAGTGCTAGAATTGCAGCGGAGGATTAAGTACCTCAGAATTAGGCCTGTCCCACCTTCTTAAAGAGGGCAACACTTTCCCTTGCCTTCAGTACTTGAGAGTTGTTTTGATACTTAGCAGAAACTCTGTATTTTTAGATGCAGTCCTGAGCTGTTACAGGTACATCAGCAGTGGCGTATAGATTCACAGTATTTTGAATGCACATTTACATTAGGCATCTGCCCACAATTGTTTTGTATACAACAGTGCATTGCCAGTATTTAAGAGTTTTTAGGTATGTCCCTTGAATACGTAACTTGGAGCTCAGTGTGCCAGGCTGTGACAGTATTAATCACTTGTCTTTTTTTTTAAACAGACAAATACGAGTGTGCATATAGATACACACACTCACATATACTTGGCAAGTGGGTTTAAGACTACTGCTAATAGTCAGATGTAAGATCATATCTTTTCAGGTGTCCTGTTTTCTGTGGTATGTCTGAATTGTAGCTTGGTCCTCCACTGCAGAAGAGCTCTGGAGAGAGCCACAAGCCTGATGTGTTTGTGTGACACCCCAAAAAGAAGGGATGCCGGTCAGGTGAAGCCCTTGAGAGGGACTCCCACAGCCTTGGAGTGCGTGGACTGTTACCGAGCTGTTGGTGATCTTCTCTGTGAACATCATAGCTAACGGTGAATGCTTTTCCAACCCCATCACAGCTTTGGGTGTAAACCAGAATACCTCACTTGGAGCAGAGGGCTGGGCACGACTGCCCTGGCAGGGTGAACGCCTCGGGTGAGACATACCACAGCATCCTGCCACAGGAAGAGACTACCAAAACATCTGTCAGCTCTATCGGCTGATGGTCTGACCAAGGTATTTTTGATGTGTAAAGCTTGAAACAGGAGACACAATGCTTTCATACTCTCTGGAGCATTTAGAAAAATGCCCAAATGACTTTTCACTGCTACTGAGAATTTAAAATACTGTGCAATTAAAGAGTCCGTTTGTTTAAATAAAAATAATGGAGAAGTTATTTATTTTGATTTACAGTGACTCTTGCTAATTTATTCCTTGCGTTACGAGGCTGTGGTGAAGTGCTGGTTTGGGTTGGGATTTTTTTTTTTGCCTTTTTTTTAATCATAGGAACTAAGACTGCTGAGAAGAAAAAACAATAGATTTAAACTTAAAACTCAATTGCCTTGTTTTGGTTTTTATAAAAGGGCTGAGGTTTTATAAATGTCAAATTGTGCATTTTATATGCTTTGTGAATTTCAGAGAAGTGCAGTTTAAGAATTTTGTTCAGATTAAATATGCATGTGCATCCTGTTTAGACAAACCATGTAACTAGCCTTAAAATCATCTGTGTTAAATGATTGTTCCAGCTAACCTTTTGCTAGGTAACACGTAAGATGTTCAGACTTCATCTTGACGTATTCTAGAATGCATTTCGTACATCTTACGGTTTCATCAGAAACTGGTGATCTCATCACCTAATCACACAGGACACGTCTGTTTGCATGTGAACCATCCTCCTCTATGTTGGGTTTTTCTTACAGTGCTTTACAAAGTAATACACGGGTACATGTGAGCTATGTGGTAGATCTTTATACAGGCACTATCAAATACTGTGTGCTGCTCTGAAGTACAAATATGCTTTAAATAGTTTCCCAGCTTCCATTTTCAGGTCATAAAGGGTTGTCATGACTTGTGCTTGAAGTGTTTATTACTCTGTCTACACTTTAACATAAATGACTGCAATAGTTCTCATCCCCTCTCTTAGACTTCATAGCCACTGCAGGGCCCAGGCTCCTGCACACTTACCCGTCTGCCTGGGTCCAGCACACTCACATCAGCCAGTTCAGTGGTGCAAGGGAAGCCCTCAGTAAAGCTGGCCTGTGTGTAAGTGCAGGAAGGCTGGGCCTTGAGGAGCGCATCTGGAGCCCATCTCGGGAGCTGCCTGCTCCCAGAAGGAGGTGAGATCTCACTGGTGCTGACAGGTTGTTCAGCCAGGATTGCACTCTGTGGTCCTTAGAACACTTATGAACCAAAACTATGCAGATGTTTAAGCACGTCCATCCGCAGTGTTTCAAAGGTGGAAAATCTACTCTTCACCTTGCAAACCAAAACCTCTTGGCCTTTTGTAGAACCTTTTTTCCCGTGGTCTCAGATGAAGTCTAGTTTACCACGTTAGGTTGGCTGGTTGGTTGCTTTTTATTTATCTGAATGACATTCTTAATGAAACTGATAGTTAGAAACTGTTTTACCAGCATAGTACATCCTGCAAGGAAACAGAAATGCAGCTACAGCAGCAATAATAGTGTTTTGTAGAACCTTTTCCCCTCCTTTTCTCTGTACTTGTGTTGAGTAGGTGAGATTTTGATACTGTCCTCAAGTCCGCTCCAGCAAAAACATCAGTTAAAAACAATGTTTGCACTAGCTTGATAAAGCAATTGTCAAACTGGCTCTTCCTTCCTGCACTGGTTGGTCTGTGTTTTTTCTGTGATGTGACTATTCACATCTTAAAACCACCTTCTAAACCATACAGAAAAACATGTACATGGATTCTGCTTTTAGAGAAAACAAAATAAAGATTCATTTTCCTCACTGATGGGCTGGTTTTATTTCATAGAGAGGAATAAATAGATCTCGATAGCAGTTAGCAGTGAATTACAGACAGCTTTTTGTTCCTGCCTGCACAATAGAACTGCTTTGAGTAAATTTAAACAGTTTCAAACATAGAAATGATTATAGATTATCAGTTCATTTTTAATGTAGTAAATCCTATTTAATAGTCACTTCCCCCTGATGTTGCTTACTGAGAAAACTGGGGTTAAGTAGCCACATAAGTCAGTTAGTAGCAGAATTTGGATTTACATGTTTTGCCTGTGGAATCAAAGGATGTTTTTGGTTGGAAAATATTGCAAAGCTCATCTAGTCCAGTCCCCTGCCACGGGCAGGAACACCTTCCACTAGAGAGGGTTGCTCAAGGCCCTGTCCAGCCTGGCCTTGAACACTGCCAGGGATGGGGCAGGGGTGGACCTGTCTGCTTTCAAGTACTGCTACACATTTATTTATCTTCCATTGTGTAGCCTACCTCTGAATTTTGTGAGGTGAATGGAATTTAGAGCAGAAAAGAATAGTTGCCCAATGAATGTGAAGATACTGCAGTTTTCTCATCTGTGATGAAACGACTATTCAAACTGCACAGAACTGTTGAATTGCGGTTTTGCCAAACTGCATTGCCTGGCTAGGGCCACACCAACTGTGCTGGGACCCCTTCTCCTCCCTCTCCAGCCCTACATGCAGGTGCAGGACCAGCCTGCCAGCTATGCAGTGAAGGGTGAAGTCAGGTAATAAAACTGCAGGCAGAATGAGCAACCCCAAACCCCATAGTGTTGCCCTGGTTATTTGCTTAATGTGTTTTGCATAGCTCTGACATGTGCTGCTTTACTGTGCCCACCCTGAGTCTATCCTTATGACTGTGCTGCCTTTCAGGGCACATGCAGGCACTGGAGCAAGGTGTGACGGTCCCTCCCCAGCAGCCGGGTGGGAATATGACAATCCCTGGGGATGCCGCTCTTGGAGCTCATCATGGTGTGCACGACCCATGACTGATCACATCAGCAGCGCAGTGGAGGAGTGATGGGAAGCTGTATGCAGTGCATGAGGTGGGAAGCCCTGGCTCACAGGGTAAGGTGGTCGCATCCCAGAAACACCAGTGCTGCCTGCACCACCGCTGACATGCTGCTTGGCTCTAGGTGGTGGCTCCTTTGCAGGCTCTGGTGTGAAGCTGCTTGCGCTCCAACAAATGGGCACCTCTGCTGCGCTTCTGTCAGGAGCCAGGCTGGGCTATTGCTGGCCCAGGTGCTCCTATCACCTTCAGCTTTGCTGAGCCCTCGTGCTCACAGCATGGACATACCTCATATTCTGAAGTGCTGTTTGTTTTGTTCTCAGTGAATCACTGCTTGGAGCTTGAGCAAAGAGCATCCGTATAAACAGAGGGAGGGCTCAGGATGCGTGATCATGTCTCCAGCAGGAAAAGATGGATGCTGAGGTGAGGTTTCCTTGGCTGCTGACAGCACAGTGCTGCCAGTTTTGCTCACCAGCTGGTTAAAGTCTCTCTGTAAAGCCCTGGCTTTTTGTCTCCATATAACTGATTCAGAAATCTTCTATTTGCAGTAGTAGATGAGGATATTAAATAGCATCCTCTGCACACTTTGCACTTTTAAAAATAGGATCACATTATTCACCTGGCAGCAAAACGCAGTTTTGGAGGGCAGAGGCTACATCCCCCAAGCATAAGTAGAGGATGGTCTCATCTATGGTCTCGGAACTGTGAATGACTTCTGCTGTGTTTACCAGGCTGAGCAGAGCTGTCTGAAGACACTGAAGACCGCACATGCATGTCCACAAGGGACCTGACCTGCAGCCTCCACCCAGACAAGTTAAGTAGAAAAGAGGTTGCTTTTCCTGCAAGTTGCTGTTCTTTTAAAGGCATTGATTGGGTCAGGAGAGGAGAAAACCACATTTCATCCATTTCAGATGTGCACTGCAGGCAGGAGATACACTGCTGACACAGTGCTGCTTCCCTTTTTTTTCCCCTTGCAGTTGCACTGGCCAAGAGCAGCAGGTAGGGATGGTGGAAATTAAATGCCACTATTAATTTACATGAGCTAGTGATGCATAAGAGAGAGGAATGTGGGAAATAAGGCACTGGTGCTGGGTGTTCACCAGCAGGTTCCTTACGTCAGCCAGGCTCGGCTTACAGCGATCCCAGCTGTGCCCTGGAACTGGAGCTGTGGTGGTGGTTTGGGTGACCCAACACTCCACACCTTGGAAAGGAGCCTCAGAAGGGGAAAACTGTATTGGGGCCATGCCAGGGGTGCTTGGGAGGCAAGGGGGGGGGGGGGGGGGGGAAATGTGGTTTTTATCCACGTATACAAGGCTTCCAGGCATGCACAAACCTGGATTTAATTTATATTTTGCCAATTTCAGAATAAGAAATGCTCTTTTATTGCTGGGGAGGGGGGAAAAAAAAAGCAAAAATAACAAACAACCAACAACAAAAAATAAACAACCCCCAAAAATCCAAACCAGACAAACCACCACCACCAAAACCCAAACCAAAACAAACCTGAATTGAGTAGTAAAATCCTCATCTCTGGCAGTGTGTTTCATAGAATCACAGAATGCTTTGGGTTGGGAAGGACCTTAAAGCTCATCCAGTTCCAACCCCCTGCCATGGATGGGGCAGCCACAACTCCTCTGGGCAACCTGTGCCTGAGCCTTACCACCCTCATGAGGAAGAACTTCTTCCTCATGTCTAATCTAATCTAAATCTCCTCTCTGTCAGTTTAAAGCCATCGTCCCTTGTCCTGTCACTACAGGCCCTTGTTTCCCTCCCTGATCCTGCACCGCAGCCCCCTTGCACACCATGGCAGCACCTCTTGCTGCTCCAGCAGCAGCCGGTGACTCTGGCGTGAGTTGACACTTGCAGCTGACTGCAAGCACCAACCACGGTGCCCCTCGGCACTAACCTGGCCCCTCGGCTCTGCCCTGGCCTCCTCACAGTCACTACAGCTGAGGAGAGGCAGGTGCTCCAGAGCAGCAGAGGGATGATGCTGAGCTGTTTATTGGTTTATTTCATACAAGAAAAGTGCCCCTTGGCTCCTCCTGAGACAAAGTGATTCCATTACTGCTGGAACTCTGTGTGCACAGGACGCAGCACAGCGGCTCATGGCCGGCAGCCGTGTCTACAAAATCGTTTCAGAGAAAGGAAAACGTCAGCATGGCAAAACCAGAAAGCATTCCTGTGCCACATGCTGCCGGGAAATGGGGCTGCCACCCTGCTCTGAACCTGCATCAGACTTCTAATGAGCGTTAGCTTGTTTACCCAACCCTTTCCTCTTGACATTTAAAACTCATTTAGTGGGATACCACCTTCTCTTCCTGCTGAGGGCTCACAAGCTCTGCTGCGGGAGGCTGCAGGGCTGGGATGTAGCGCGGGCTGCATTAACCGAACATCGCACGCACATCAAGTATG